CAGGCTGTGGAAGGTCGGTAGTTCAGCAGTTCGGGACCCGAGTGTGCCGCATGATGGAGTGAGCTCCCGTCTCTGGCCCCAGCTCCTGCCAACCTAGCAGTTCGAAAGCAAGAAATTGCAAGTAGATAAATAGGTACCACTTCGGTGGTGTAGTTCAGCAGTTCGAGACCCGGGTTGCCGCATGACGGAGTGAGCTCCCGTCTCTAGTTCCAGCTCCTGCCAACCTAGCAGTTCGAAAGCAAGAAATTGCAAGTAGATAAATAGGTACCACTTCGGTGGGAAGGTAACAGCGTTCCATGCGCCTTGGTGTTTAGTCATGCCGGCCACATGACCACGGAAACGTCTTCGGACAGCACTGGCTCTTCGGCTTTGAAACGGAGATGAGCACTGCAACCCTAGACTCGGATTCGACTGGCTTTCGAGCAAGGGAACCTTTACCTTTTATACTTACTTGGTAATTCCTTGTTTCTGTATTTTGCAAATATTGTTCTATGCTGTGGTTGTTGTTTTTTTGTTGTATATGGGTTTGCAAGGGTTACATGCCAATAAAGGTAACTGGACTGATTAAAAAAAAAGCTCAGCTTAGAGGGAACACTGGTCTCCAGCTCTCTTAGGCATCTCCTGCAGCACCTTCTGCTGTTTGCACGGCGGTCAGAACGAGGTTGACTTGTAGGAGGCTGTGTGGACGAATGGACTTGCCACCGGGAGCAGAAGAGGAACAGGGTTCTCTTCTGGCCCTGTCCAGTTCTCCTTCTGCCATCTGTTTTACATGCATTTTGGTGTGGTGTGTCTTGTCGGTTCCTCTCTGTGGCAGACTGCCTTCAGTCTAGGAGGACGGGGTAGAGAAACCTGACTCTGTCCCTGAGTTGGAGTTGATAAATATCTGAAACCCTTCTCTGCCCACGATGGTGTTTGTACACAGATTTGTCAGAGGGGCCGTGGCTCAGTGCTAAAGCATCTGCACACAGAAGGTCCCAGGTTCAATCCGCGGCATCTCCAGTGAAAAGGACGAGGCAGGAGGTGGTGTGAAAGACCTCATCCTGAGACCCTGGAGAGCTGTAAAGAGGGGCCGTGGCTCAGTGGAAGAGCCTCTGCTTGGCAGGCAGAAGGTCCCAGGTTCAATCCCCAGCATCTCCAGTTAAAAGGACCAGGCAGGAGGTGATGTGAGAGACCTCCGCCTGAGACCCTGAAGAGAGCTGTAAATAGGGGCTGTGGCTCAGTGGAAGAGCCTCTGCTTGGCATGCAGGAGGTCCCAGGTTCAATCCCCGGCATCTCCAGTTAAAAGGACCAGGCAGGAAGTGATGTGAAAGACCTCCGCCTGAGACCCTGGAGAGAGCCGTAAAGAGGGGCCGTGGCTCAGTGGAAGAGCCTCTGCTTAGCATGCAGAAGGTCCCAGGTTCAATCCCCAGCATCTCCAGTTAAAAAGGACCAGGCAGGAGGTGATGTGAGAGACCTCTGCCTGAGACCCTGGAGAGAGCCGTAAAGAGGGGTTATGGCTCAGTGGAAGAGCCTCTGCTTGGCAGGCAGAAGGTCCCAGGTTCAATCCCCAGCATCTCCAGTTAAAAAGGACCAGGCAGGAGGTGATGTGAGAGACCTCTGCCTGAGACCCTGGAGAGAGCCGTAAAGAGGGGTTATGGCTCAGTGGCAGAGCCTCTGCTTGGCATGCAGAAGGTCCCGGGTTCAATCCCCGGCCTCTCCAGTTAAAAGAATCAGGTAAAACAGTAAAAAGCCCAGTAGTACCTTTAAGACTGATAGACTTTATTGTCGCATAAGCTTTCGAGAAACGCAGCCCTCTTTGTCAGATGCCGTTTGTTCGTCTTAAAGGTGCTACTGGGCTTTTTACTGTTTTGCAGCAATAGACTAACACAGCTGACTCCTCTGAATCTAAGAATCAGGTAGGAGGTGATGGGAAAGATTCTTTTTTCGGCATGAGTCCCTGGAGAGCCGCTGCCAGTCTGAGTAGACAAGACCGACCTTGATGGGCCAACGGTCAGACTCAGTAGACGGCAGCTTTGCAAAGAGGGTAAGATCCTGAGGGGGGGGGCGCTGTCATTTCCAGCTATGCTTTCGCTCCATCTTGCGCGCCCAGGTGTCCTTAACGGGTCGGGGGTATATAAAATGCCTT